TGTCAGATTGCTAAACTTCTTGCAACCCGATTCCTTTCATCTCAATATATCTTGCTAAAGAAAACACAGTCAGAACCTTGTTTGCAAACACTGCTTTAGGTCTGAGGCAGCTGACAAGAAGCCTGACAAAAGCCTGATGATCAAGAAGAAACGGAAACATATCTGAGAAGCACCATCACAGTACAGGGTTTGACACAAACTCTTCGTGATACGTAAAGCTGTAGCTGTTTGGGAGTTTCAGTTTTTTCCAAGGACATCTCTTTAGTTTACCTGTTTTATGCACTGCAGCCGATCATTAGTCTGCTGTATGTGTCTGTCCATAGAATTCATTTCGATTGTCTCCCCTTCACTTCTACCTGAAAGCCATTAAAATCCCTCAAGCTGTAAGATATGAAAAAAAAAAGTAAAATTAATCATTAACAGATCAGCAAATTATAATTCTGCAAATTCTAATGTGATTGAGTCTAAATCTTCAGATCATTGCAACCACTGGCTTTCACAATTTCACTCTAAAACATTTTTCTTTGTCCTTATCTGCTCCCTAACCCAAATGTTGTACTCTTATTGAATTAGTAACAAAAGTCTTTTTGCAGGACGAAACTTGGAGAAAAATACTGAAATAATTATAATTAAATCCACGTATGGTGTACAGTTAACTCCAGTAGTGAAATCCCATTGGAGCAATACATGAAAGTTGTTTTATTATATACACAAAGATACATTTAATTCTGTCTGAACTAAGCTTAAATGAACATTCATATAATACATACATTTAGGTTAAAACAAGTGCATATGCATGTGATATATATGTGAAATGTTCACTATTCTCTATTTCTTTTTACAAACCTAGGCAATGTCAAGGATCAAGACTTATTTTCTCATTCTTTGCATCTTACAGTGACACATAAAATTTCAGACATTCCTAGTAATATATCCAACACACACACACAACCAATCTGAATTGGAGAGAAATATGGTTTTTGTTGCTACAAGGAAGTTAAAGAGATGGCTTTTCTCTTTACTCTGAATGCAGAGACACAGCTTAAAAACTCAAACATTTGGACTTGTACAGGCCATTGGTAGGCTGTATGATTCCAGAAACATGTAGTATAACCAAATAAGTCTGTATAACAGAAAGAGCAGTAAGAGCTCAGATACAAAAGTTCACATCTTCTCAGATACCTAAACATTTTATTACCTACATACATGTTTTTATTTATAAAGCGCATTTCTCCCATAGCTCAGGGTGCTGTAAAACATCCAATCCATTATTAAGCACAATTGATACAATAATTCTCTCTCTCTCTCACTCTCTCTCTCTCTCTATATATATATATACTGTGTGTGTGTGTATATATATATATATATATATATATATACACACACACACACACGACAACACAACACATTATCCAACTTGTAGCCACGTCTTTTTCTTGTTGACATCGACTCCTGCTGTCACATGGACACATCCATGTACTTTCCTTGGTTGGCCATTGCTTTCTCCTGAAATGCTACTTTGATCTCCCAGTTTAGCCGGCGGCTGAAATTCCCTGCCAGCCTCCCTCCCAGTTATGAACCAGGTGTAGGCTTTCTTGAGATTAGCCGTGTGTTTGAGATCAGTCCTATATCAAATTAGCAGAATTAGGAGAGGGAGAATGGTGGCAGAAGAGATCATGGGGGTGGAGGGCGGAGGGGAGGAGTCAATCCATGGACATTGATCTATCCCAACACTTAACTGTGTTCCAGATGTTGAACCTACCTTTGAACCACTGATTGTTGAGCTCTTAAGCACAATGTTAACTGCTTTGTGTTTAGATTTTTATTATCTCACCAGTACAGCTCTTTTCTTACATATTAACTGGAAACACCAGGGATTCACCTGGGATGCTACGCATGGGAAACACACCCTCTGTAACTGAGCCGAACTTTCCCTAAGCTACCAGACAACAGCTCTGTTCACATTGACCTTTCCCTTCCAGCACCTCTGATAGGCTGGAGGGTCATTTATTATTCACTTGATGGAGGTCTGAGGAGCATCCGTGCTGGTGGGCAATGCATAGTGCACACGCAGACGCACATGCAGAACATCCCCCCACCCCCGCAAGCTGTCTGGAGGCCTCTCTGATAGCGCTTCCTCCGTGGCTCCTGATGGTTTAGATTGCAGTGAAAGGAATTTCGCTCCGTTGAATGAGGGGCCTTGCACGTAGTCAGCACTCCTCCTCATTCCACACTTCAGACACAAGTGGGTTCAATAAAGCAGGGCTATCAATGAATTGTAATGCCTTGTGAAACAAAAAAACGCCTATTTCATAATTTCATAATCATTCCTCTACGCTAGTACAGGTTAGCAATTCTCAACCGCAGTTGCAGTCTAAAGCTTTGTCTTCTTTTGGATTTAATACCGGTTGATTAGATCTCATTAAAAGAGTATTCACCTGGAACTTCAAGTTTGTTTATAGAACCCTCAAACAAGTCTTAAATTTAATTTTTCAGCAACGGGCAAAGACACTGAGCTGTTTGACAGTCTTAACTGAGACATGTAACCAGTTCAGCAGCCATCCAACCTAAAAAATAAGATACCTTATCTGCATTTTAATTGCTCAGAGGAAATGGACAATAGAAAATAAATAACAGAAGACAGAAGCTGCTTCTGGAGAACCCTAGACAATCTTACAATGTCCTTGCAATATAAAATAAGAGCATTGATGCTTTAACTGTGTTCTGGGGGACCACAGGGTTCCTTGGGGTATCATTAAGGATTCTTCAGTAGGACAATCAGCAAAGGCAGATGAGACAGGTTTGCCTTGCAATTCATAGATGCAGAGGAGCATCAGGTGTTCAGGTGTGTATGCTGAATTCATACAGGAAAAGCGGAAAATGCCATACATATGACCAGTTCCTCAAGAACTGGAGGGACTCCAAACTCCAATGCTCAGGAGCATTTTTGCAGAAAGGCCAGCACAGAGGGCAGAGGTATCCAGGATAGCTCTCAGACATATTCTAAATCCTCTGTTTCCCCAGCGTATGCTGCACATTGCTCAACTCCACATGCTAAATGAAAACTCCTATGGGGAAAGGTGGAAGAGGAGAAAAAGACTGAAGATTCAAAGGGCAAAATTAGCACCCTGGGAGACCGTGCATCCTGGCTGAAAACTAATTTCAAATGCTGAGTTAGGAATACCCCTGGGGTTGTCTTAACTACAGTTATTACCTGAGCTGTCTTTAGGAGGATAAAAAGAAAGGGCATTCCGTGCCCCCTGCCTTATGTCCCCAAAGGAACGGCAGGATATAAATGTAATAAACAAATTAATAAGCCACTATTAGAAACAGTGGGGGTTTGAGGGTTGCATTTGAGAAGAGAAGCAGCAAACGATCCTATGGATGTTTCGGCTAGCTGAGGCACTTCTAGAAAACCCTGCAAGAGAAAGAGTTGAAAAAGCTGCTGCTGTTGTTGTTAAGAGTGCTGCAAATCGGTGCCTCTGGAATGTCCTTTATTTCTTCTTGGGGTGTGAAATTACAAGAAAGGGAGGTAGGAAACAGCACACAATGGCTAAAAACATCTGACCATCTTTTGTCAATCAGACGAAACGGAATCGTTTACTCCGTGTCTCTATATGCTGGGAGGCATTAGCACACAATTGCTATTTAATAAGTAGCTTTGATTAAATACTAAGCTAGGTTACAAACAAGATGGGAGGGAACTACACCAACTAATTAATCGGTTAAATAATCAGGAAAAAGCCGCTTTAAGCCAAGGGGTGGGGTTCAACAGATACACACACGGTGACGTGGAACTATCTAGGGGCTAAAAAATAAAAATAGGCAACTCTTTCCAGGATTATAGATCAGCTAGATATTAAAGAATCAGATAGGACTTTTTATTATGAAATATGTCTTATTTTATTTTATTTTATTTTATTTTATTTCAACTCTAGC